TGTGAATTTTATTAAAACCAAAATCATTGCCTAAATTATTAAATACTTTTATTTATACATTAATCTCTAAATTTGAAATAAATTTGTAATTATTTATCTAAACGTGAATCCAATAAATTGAATATTCAATGAATCCATTAAATAGTTGTCAAATCACTTCTCATACAAATGTTTGATGTCTTTCCACTGTTTCTGTTGGACATGAAAATGAAATGAATGGATGCGACAAATTCAATGGTGTTTGCGACTCACCCCAGGGTTGTAGGCGTCCCATATGGTGTCGCTCAGTGTCTGCACACCCCTCTCGTAGAAGAGGGCGCCCACTATCACGATCACTGCCGTCGTCGACGTCTTGTTCAGCAAAGTGCGGTACAAAGTGCTCGCCAATGCCATCCCTCACACTCTATACACACAATACATGCAATCATATATCAGATTAGTAGTGATTATTCAATGATTAATATATATATATATATATATTAAAGTCAAAACTCATACCAAATGATTGTGTAATGAATTTAATTCAATTCAATTGATGTCCAAAAATCAAAAATCGTGTTGTGTTTTGAAAATGTACTTCACGTTTGGTTGGGTCGTCCGTATATACCGTGACAATACGTTTGGTGGGAAGGGGTGTGTGTGTGTGTGTGAGTTAGTGCCCCCTATTTTGATGGGACGCCTATAATGTTTGGCCCCTATAGTAGTGGTGTATTGAGTGGTTTCACTGGTTATTGAAGTCAGTGTTGGATTGAGTGGAGAAACAAGTGGTCCACACAATGGCTGCTGTCCTGTAAAGTACTGGTTATAGCGTTCGCAGTGTTTGTTGTGTCCTATTATACACTTTGTTGGCCACACATTCAGTCACACCATTCAATGTGTGTAACTTTTGTGCACTTTTAATGGCAATTAGCGATGAATTAAGTAATTAATGAAAATGTTTCAAAAGTGTAGTGTTCTGTACGTGTAGTACAGTGTGTGTGACGTCTATATAGCTTCACGTACTGTACATTGCATTACATATACACACATAGAGTGTGTGTTTTGTTATCAATTGATTAGTGGATTGAATGCATTGATTGAGTGATCGTTTGTTTGTCACTGTTTTGAATGCAATCTCATTATGAGATGTGATTTGAAGGAAATGCTAACCAAAACGCTGTGAGCACTGAGTGTTGGTCTCAAGTGTTGTTCACAACTCATATTACGGTTAACTATAACTATAATCACAAGTGAATCGCTTTTCTCTTCATTCAACAAAATGGTTGTCAAATAGTGGCCACCGATAAGGGAAGCGCTTCTTCCGTGGCGTCAGTCATGTCCTACAAGACATTGTTTGCCATCGTTTGCTGGCTTCTGGTGGCCAGTCGTCGCCCGACGGACTCATTGCCAGTGAGTTCTGGCGGCGGTTATAATGATTTGAATTATCATCAAATGAGTGATGTCTGTGATTGGGAGGGAAGCGGATCCATAGAGACGGACTCGGATCGAGTGGTGGTTCCGGTGTACGTCCGCTGCTCTCACGGAACCATTGAATGGCTGTACCCGAAGGGTGGCCTCCGAGTAGTGCTGCGTTACGGCACGTCCAACAAGAACTTCAGGGGCTGTATAAGAGTGGCCCGCAATACGAGCCAATCCGTGCGGATGTATGTCGAGGGCAATCAACAGTTGCATCCGTTGTACTCTTTCGACGACAACAAACACATCGATCTCTTGAGATGTTTCGTCTCAATCAACGGCTCGATCGCAATATTCATCGAAACAGAGCCCTCACTATCGGTGACCAATCATCTGACGGACAGTTCCCACGAAATGGCGAAATTCAGTTACGATTTGCAAAGCGTTTCGTCCAAAGAGGAGCTCATCTCCGAAGACGAAGAGTGCAAACCCTGTGATGACAATCAAATGCTTTCACTGTTCTGTTCGAGTGATTTCATAATCGAGGGATCGATTCATTCACTCTTCCATAACAAGCCATTAGATCGATCCGAAGTGACGGTCAGAGCTCGTCGAGTGATCAAAGACCCCGTCGACCACTCGTACGACACGTTAGGCCATAACAACAGTCTCACAATCGATGCCATTGTTAGCCAATACGGAACTGTTGTCAAACACTATACCCTCTATCGGCCCCTCAAATGCCATACGAAGGCCGGTTCGGGCACTGAGTTCATGCTCTTTGGCCGATGGCTTTTGGGACAGCCGTTCATATCATGTGCGCCAACACTAACCCATTGGACACACATCAAGAATAAAGCGCTTGAGAGCCGCCAAAACGAGTGCCAATTATATTGATTTGTTAATTATATTTAGTGTACAGTAGAGTGTAATATAATAGAGTTGAACCCCCTTTACCCCCACCCTATATATACATACATTTATATATATCATATAATATATACATATAGTGTATATCATATAACATAAGTGCCTTTATAAGTGCTTTCGGCGAACCACTTGATCGCAATGATAGTCACAATGCAATAGTGTTTTAATGTAAATATGGATTAATATTTGTGACAAAACTTTCATGTAATCATCAATTGATTTATTTAACTCATTATCAAAAAGAAAATAATACATAAGAAACGAATCAAAAACTTATATTTTAGATATAAATATATATTTTCGACGAAATGTAAAGAATTTTTATCTTAACTTATTTTTCTCTATGTATTCATTGACGTGTTATTATGAATAAAGAAATATTATTATTATTATTACTGGACTGTATTTGTATGTATGGAGAGTACACTGTATGCCTGCATCTAAATGTATGTATGGATAGATGGGTAGTATGTATGATATGTATGGCCTGAATAGTGTAGTGATTGCTGTGAAGTATTGTATGTCATAAAAGAAGAAATGGATTATAAGTTAGAGCTATAAACAGAGAAAAGAGAGAAACCGGTCCTAAAGCTCCTAAAACGGGCCAAACCTTAAAGTGGGAGTTATTATAGCAGAGAGAATACATTGTTAGTGGAGTACAGGTCCGGTCTTTTTGATGGTTTGCATACACTATACACATGTATGTATGGATGTATGTGTGTATCGCATACAGTGAACCAAGTCTTGTGCACTGATAGAGTCTGTAGAGCAACAAAATAATAGTGTGGCGCGCGTTGAGCACAACTTTGTGGTGTCGCCCCTCAACCCCTCTCAATACCCCCTCAATCTCTTGCCCACAGTATCTTCACATCCCCTCAGCTTTTATTGCTGTAAACTGTAAATCGATGAGTGGTATGGGGTCTCAAATGCCAGCGCATACCAGCTATGCATAGCCTATGCATACAAGTGCTATAAAAAGTGAATACAGATTATAATTGAAGGCCTGCACTGAAAACTTCTTTATTGGTTTTCTCTGCGACTCCAACCAAACCAAAGCCATTGACCGTATCGTCTGAAAGGGTCTCAAAGGGACTGATAGGCAAAAGAGAGGAAAATAGAGGCAAACCATAGGGAGAGAGAGAGTGAGAGCTGAGAGGAGCTGAGCCGAGGAACAGAACAAACAAAAACTTGTTTCACACTTTCTAAAGGGATAAACCACTGAATACTCGCAAAACTATAATTCAATTTTCTGAAAATATTTGAAAACTTTGTAGCCTTTTGTTCGCAAAGCGAAACTTTTATGCCTATTGTCCGTCCGATCATTTATTTGGTGTCAACGATAACTCAATCGATTGATTCAAATAGTATTTTCAACGTTTAGTTTCTCTAATATCTTATATTTATTATTCAATACATATTCTTCTGCACACACCTATTGTCCGTCCGATCATTGATTTGGTGTCAACGATAACTCAATCGATTGATTCAAATAGTATTTTCAACGTTTAGTTTCTCTAATGTCTTATATTTATTATTCAATACATATTCTTCTGCACACAAAACACAACTCAAAATTCATTACATATTAATAATTAAATGTTAATATAAACCAAATTCTGTTAATATAAACTCAAGCAATAAAAAAGAAAGACTTAAAAATGTAATTTTTGATTACAATATTGCAAATCATTGGAGCCATAGATGACTAGACAATGAAACGGCATTAAAAAAAAGTAAAGACTAAAACATTTGGAAATGATTGATGAATGAAATGAATTGTGCGGCCAATGAGTGGTTAACCCATCAAATCCTTGAGGGCGTCGTAGAAGACGAGGACGAGAGCGCCTCCTGTGCTGCGGAAGACGTTGGAGAGCGCGCCCCGAAAGAAGGACTTCGGGCCCTCTGTTGTCGCGATTTTACCCCAACAATGAATGGTATTCTTATACATGCGTTCACTGACGGGAAGCCCCGACTGCATCATCATTCGACGTCTCACTGTATCGAATGGATACGAGACTATACCCGACACTATGGTCACCACTTCTGCGATCGCGAACGATATATACCACGGGCTGTTCTTCGGGTCCGGAAGCATACCTTTGCACGTGTCGAACATTCCGAAGTACGCGGCCCTATAGATGATGATCCCTATTATGCAAACATTGACATTAGATTATAGTGTTGTTTGTGAAACAATGCCCGCAAACAGAGCCTCTCCTCCACCCATACCCTGAACGGAGACAGAGAAGCCTCGATAGAGACCCATATAGCCATCGCTTTTGTACACTTTAGCCAAACAGTCGACCAAACCGTTGAATTGTCGATCGGCGCCAGACTTGCCGATGTCGGCGGCCAAACGGGTCCGCGCGAAGTCCAACGGGTAGACAAAGCACAGCGATGTGGCGCCGGCGGCCCCACCAGAGGCCAAGTTTCCCGCAAAATAGCGCCAAAATTGTGTCTTTTTGTCGACTCCGCCCAAAAAGATGGCTTTGTATTTGTCTTTGAAGGCAAAGTTGAGCGCTTGTGTCGGGAAATATCGGATCACATTCGCAAGATTTCCTCTCCAAAAGGCGCCGATTCCCTGCTCTTTGGGAATGCGGACAAACGCGTCCATAATACCTAAGAATGGATGCAAACAACACAAAAGTGGTCACCAGTGGTCACATCTCGTCACTAATATAAGACCTTTGTATCTCTGGCTCTCTGCGATCTGTTTGGACGAGTGCTGGACCTGAAGAAGTAGTTTCACTCTCTCGATGGGCGCCATCGCTGTCTTGGATACGGCCGCAGACACACCGCCGGCGATGAAGTCTTTAAGAAAGGAGACGGCGTCGACAGTCATAGTTCAGGGATCAGTTGCCAGATGTCAACGGATTGAAAACCTATCGATTAAACAATTAAATTAATGCATTAAAAATGTCTGCAATGTCTGCAAATTCACGATTGTCTTCATTGCGAAGACAACTGATCCCAAAATATCAATTCAATATTAAAATGCAATAAATCAATGTTAAGATAATGTCTGGAAGTGTCCATCAAATGTTATAATCAACAAATAATTGATTAAATCTCACCTCAATTTGGGATCAATTAAGGATTTTTTGCCCAAAAAATGATGTAAAAAGTTTGCAACGATTTTCTATAGCTTTACAGTTATTGTCAAAAGCCATGCCTTTTGTCGCGCTTATAGGCAGTGGTATTGTATTAGACATGGATTTGTACGGCATTTGTAATGCATGTCTCGCTTATTGTGTGGCAAAGGATTTGGGGCTAATTTCTAAGCCGTGAATGCCTTTAATTTGCATGAATGTAAATTTTAATATTTTGCGGACAAATATGGATTTGAAAATTCATTGAAAAGGCGATCAACACTTTAAATGCTAATCCAAATCATTGTAATCCAAAGTGTAATCTTAGGACAAATAAACTTCGAGTCCAACCCGTATTGAATGTGGTTTTTGGGGCCCAAAAGCTAAACGCGTTAATTGAAAATATGTCTGATTCTCGGAAAATGTTTAGATTTTACAATTAATTTTGTTTGAAAGTTGCTCTAAAGGTGTATGAATTGTATCCATTTATAAACCTATATTAATAGCGTTTTCCTATCTCTTTGTGTAATTGACATTTATCAAAATGCTTTTGAATGCCTTTCAAGTACTGTAGTTGTGATAAAATGCATTTACTCTTGGTTAATGTAAGATTTTAGGTAATTTCTTATGACTGGTTTTTTATTGCAAATGACTTTTTTAGTGTGGAATTAACGAAAAAATAAATCTCAAACTTATAGCAACTGTTGGCATGATTTCGATGTCAAATGTTAATTGAATTAAATGTATATTTTCTGAAAAAGTGATTAATCAATGGTGTATTTGATGGCAAACTGAGGCCTCAGATGCAAAGGTTATATAACTTTTTTTTATAAAACAAATCCAAACTTCAGCACAAAAAATATGATTAATCGCTAAAAAATATTTTTGCAAAAATTACATTTCATTTATTGATAGCCAAACGAAATGAAAATAATTTGAATGCATTAATAAAGGCATTAATTTGAAAGCAAAATAATTATGTCTATTGATTGGTAATTAAATTTCAAGACATGTTTTCAATTCATAATTGATTGTCATTTTAGCAAAAGAAACGATAAAATAATGAAATGCTTTGCATTTAAATTCAGAGATTAGGCTAAAAGACATTGCAATCAAATGAGAGCAAAGAAATGCAAAGCATTAATACTCTATAGAAATGAATCTCAAGTAAAAAAAAACTTTATAAAAGAGAGTCCAAAGAAACAAAAAAGTTTTTTCCACTTTTCAGCGCTATTTTATCGCCAAAAACCAGACTTCAGAGCCCTTCCGACCCCTCTCTCCCTCCCTCTCACTCGTTATGAGCGCTAAACTGAAACCAGTGTTCAGTGAAACAGATTTATATTATAACAGTTGTTGTGAACGACTCTAACATTCCGCGCAAATGTGTGACAGCCATGCAGTGAATGCACAGCACAAGTGTGTGGCCGCTATGGCTGACACATGTCTGACAAGCATTTCATATGTTGTTTATATTTGAATTGTTTTGAAAACTTTTGAAACAATGTTTTGAGAAAAGTGTCGATAAATTTGAATGAATTAATGCTTTCATTAAAGTATTGTTCACTTAATTATCATATAATAAGTGTTGTTATAATCGGTTTAATCATTAGTTTTGTTTCAATCAATTACTGGTCACTCAAACCGAAGGCAAACAACTGTTCACTCAATATATTTGTGGCAATACTTTCCCATCGAAACCATTACCACAAGAGACAGGCGTTGAGACACTCTTGGCTTCAGACCGTCCATCAGATTAACGACAATCACTCCCTAATCACAGATAATGAAGAGCTTTGCGATATCAGAGTCAACGCCCGGTTCGTTGTCGGCACCAAAGACTGTCCGATTGCCGAGCGGTTCCGCACGAGTCCTTATTCTTGTCGTTGGAATCAATTGACATTTAATCCTAACGATAGTCGCCTTTATTTACAAGAAGTGATCAATGGATCCGCTGATAGCGCTGTTGATACTCGACAGCCGTACAGAGGATTTAGTTTTGTGGTCAGTATTAGATTTATATTTGTTTAGATTAAGTAACTCTTGTGTCCAACAGATTAGACATTCAGTTGTTGTGACACAACTGGGAATCCATCGGAACTTTTTGAGTGACAATCAAAACATTACTATTGTTTTACTCAACGCTCAAAATAAAGTATATATTAATTGTTTTGTATTGTTATTGATTTTATAGTGTATTTAATGTCTGATAATGTGTTGTCTCTAAACCATAGGAAATAATCAAAACTAAAACAATTTCATTGAATTCCTATGCTTTCAATGAAATACATTACGAGATAATCGAGCCGTTAGTTTTACCCAAAGATTTTTATGGTTTGCTTATGATTGACGACCAATCCTTGCCATCCATTGCGAGCAATGGTTTAAATGTGAAGTACAATGAGAACGGATTCATTCAAATTTTAAGAGTTTGTCCCCTTTTTCACCACTTCTTGTGCTATGGTTTCAATTGTTTGGTTTCTATGATAGGCTTACTATGGATTCACTGATTTTGAATCCATTGCTTACACATCGGAGCTGTTTATTGGACCCACAATTGCATACGAAATAACTGGTGATTAAACTTAACTTTATGTTATTTTGTGATAATTTTGAAGTTTTATTTTATTATAATTTATAAGTTGTAAATTATAATGTATTTGATAGCAATTTTATGATTTAATTACATTGTTTACTTATTTTATTATACAATTGTGTGATTCAGATCCAAAGAGTATTGATTTATTGCTAACATCTCAACAAGAGATTCAAAATGAATGGAATAATGAATTGTTAAGAATCGAGAAAAGTATTGCACAGGAAATGATTGACAACAAAGACATACTTCTAATTGATTCAATCGATGTCTACAGGAATTTAGCTGAAAAAGTCATACAATCGATGAAATTGTAAAAATGAATGCAATATTTTGTGGAATATAATTAATTTTATAGATTTTTTCTAAACATTTAGTGCAATAAATTCAGAAGAATTGACACATTTTATGAAAACAGACGACGACTGCTATTTAAATGTAATAAATATAATAAACTATTTAATGAAAAATAAAAATATGAATAATGTTTGGTTTGGAAAGTAAGTAAAAATATAGAGTAGATATGATGTACTAAGAACATTCTAAGAACATTTTAAGTACATTGTACTTTAACGTTAAACTCTATGCAAAATAAACTAACAAATATTATATTAAACTTTATTGGTAAGTTTCCGAAGAGTATGGCCTTTAGATTATTGGGGCAAATGGGCTGAAAATAATTACCAATCGCCTCTATATCCAACATTTGCGTGCGGTTCTGGATATGTATTATCGGCTGATTTGGTCCAATGGATCGTTTCAAATGCTAATCATTTGCATAGATTTCAAGTATACAAACGTTTTGTAAATGAATTTTAATATTAAATATTGTTAATATCTGAAGGGAGAGGACGTATCACTTGGCATCTGGTTGTCTGTCATTAAAGCAAACTATAAAGATGTGAGATATTTACAAATAAATTACATTGAATTGATTTCATTGCTTTTAATTGTTTTCATTTTAGGACAAACGATGGGTTTGTAATAACACTGATCTCAAAGACAGAGAAAGTTTCAGTTTTCCCCAATTGGAAGACAAACAGATTAGAAAAATACATCATTTTCTCTCAAGTCGTAACAAAAATAGTTAACAATTATTTTTATAATTATAACTACAAAATATATAAAAATATATGTAAAATAAAGATCTAAATCTTGTAAAAAAATGTTATCAAAAGTTAATAAGTTTTTTGATGGCATCAAAACATTTCCATTTGTCGGGCAAATAGAAGGGCTCAAAGATGTGGGGAAACGGTGTGTCGTAACCGCAGACCCGATATATAGGCGCCTCGAGATTCAAGAAGCACTCCTTCTGAATGGTTGCGGCGATCTCTGCGCCGAAGCCGCCAGTGATGGGCGCCTCGTGTGCTATGAGTACGCGACCCGTCTTTTTGACTGAATTAATGATAGTTTGCTTATCCCACGGAAGGACAGTCACCAGATCTATGAGTTCGCACGAGACGTTGAGCTGATCGGCGGCCATCTGACACACTTCATGCAATACATGCACTTGAGTTCCCCAACCAATGAGCGTCACGTCGTGGCCCTCGACCACCACTTCCGCTTTGGACAGTGGGATCATGTAGTCCTTGACGGGCACCTGTTCTACGGCCAGTCTATACAGAATTTTGGGCTCAAAGAATAGGCAGGGATTCTTGTCGCGAATGCAACTCAGAAGCAAACCCTTGGCCTGAATGGGTCCGCGAGGAATCACCACTTTGAGGCCCGGGGTGTGCGCGAAGTAGGCCTCAACACTCTGCGAGTGATACATAGCCCCGTGTCCCACAGCACCGCACGGCGCCCGCACTGTGAGAGAGCCGCAGTCGAACTGATTGCCCGATCGGTAGCGAAACTTCGCCGCTTCGTTCACCAACTGATCGAAAGCCGGGAATATATAGTCCGCGAACTGAATCTCGGCCACAGCTGTGGCGCCGGCGGCGGCCAAACCAATGCCGAAGCCGGCGATCCCCTGTTCGCAGAGCGGAGTATTAAACACCCGGTCTTTGCCGAACTTGTCCTGAAGGCCAACTGTGCACCGAAACACTCCGCCAAACGCCACGTCTTCGCCGAATATAACAGCCGTCGGATCGTTAGTGAGAGCGATGTCCAGAGCGTTGTTCACCGCTTGAAACAGATTCATACGAGTCGTGTCCCCGGACTTAGTGGACGGCGTCTGCGGATTGAATGTGAAGTGTTGGACACTTCGACTCAATTCCAATGGCTTTTTGGCCGCCATTTGAAGCAAATTATGGCTTAATTTATGCAATATTTTTGAACTCATTTTTCAATCACTTTTTGCCTTAAATTGTATGCAAAATGAACACAAATATTGCAAAACAAAACAATTTATACGCAAAACAAAAACTTTTTTCCAAAATTTAATTCACAAATCGCTACAAACTTTTCATTGAATATCAGTTCAAAAAACAAATCAATTTAATTGCAAAATCAAAATTGTTTTTACCGATAATTAATTGATAATAAAATTATTTTTTGTACACAAATCAGGCGATTGAGCATAATCGTTCATTAATGAACTAAACAGGTTAGTTTTACTATAATAATCACCTAGTTATATCATAAGTAACCATCATAAGTTATATTCTAACGCATACAAACACTATGTGTTATAAAATGAAGAATTTTAATCGGACTTTACTATTGAATTCAATTGAAAGTTAATACAGGGGTTCACGAAATGTGTGATAATATGTGCACTGAATGTATGAATAGTTAGTTCGCAATAATGACCACAAATAATGTCTGAGAAAAACGTGTTTTGGAGTGAAAATTGAATGAATGGACTGAAAGGCCGACTCTTTTGAGCGCTTAATTGAATGAGTGATCAATTGATTGATATTTCGGTCATTAATTGCCGTCTATTTTGAGTGTTATTTAAAAGTTTTGTTCATTTATTGAACTGAAAATCAGACCATAAAGTGATGGCAACGGAAACTGTCATCAATTTGGGTAAACATTTGATGTGATGTTTGAGTGATGTTTGCGTTTAATTGTCGTTTTTGAATCAATTGATCCGATGGACAGGTTTTGCCCGCCGATGGTCTCCCTTCAAGACATTGCATCAATTGGTGGCCAACGCCGTCATCGACAGGACTCCCCGATTGACCACCGATTTGGAGACTACTCTCATGAGACACAAAACCGATTTCATATCGTTGCTGAAGAACCCGGTATTTATCATAATTGGTGTCTTAATTGTGATGATTGTCTTAAACCATGTGTTGAATTGTAGGCCCGAAACGCGTTACACAAAGAGATTGTGTTGAATGCGTCCAAAGACGGCATTGTTGTGATTGAACAGCAAAACCGAGTGAAGACTACAATACCGCAGATAATGATCGACGAGGCGTTACTCATGAGTGAGATGTTTGATTTGAATGAGTTGTCGGCTCTCGAGTTGATTATCGCCGGCGAGAATCAAGAGTCGCGGTTCGCGGGACTGACTCGCGGGCCGATCGCTGTTCTCCTGTATTTGGACGGCAGGAAGAGTCTGTTGAGCGCATTGCACGCCGCGGTTCAGGCGAGTGCCGGCCGCACGTGGTCTCTGAAAGTGAATCGTGACGCGAGTCGAGTGATCAACGCATTCATAGAAGAGCTCAAAGACGAGGGCATTGTCTTGGAGTGTATCGAACAGTTGGCTGCGCTCGACATCAAAGCCGAGTTTGAATTACTCGAGAGGAACCGCGCGTTGGGTGCCTTCAAGTATCGCAAACAAGTACTCGATGTACTCAAAGATATTCAACAGCTTTTGGCTAATATTATCTTCTGTTTTGCGGCACAAACTTATCTCAAACCCAACGAAGTCTTCAAATTATTGCAAATTGTGGCCAAAATGCCTAAAACTAAACCTAACGGATCATTAGATTCGGTGTCAACCACTCTATTGACGACATTCTTGTATATAATTGATGTCCATTTCTTGCAATTTGCCGAAGAGAATGACAAAAGAATATCAAACAACTCTTTGCTTAGAACACCTGATTTGATCAATGAATTGGACAAACAATTGAATCAAACCGTGTTTAGCGTTAGAGAGATTAAAACAATACTTCAATTTAGTTTAGGTATTGCTTTGAAGACATTGTCTTTGCATCCAATAATGGGAATCGATTGCGACGTTGAGGACGAAAAACTAATCGACGCCACAATCGAAGAGAAAGTGTTTGAATCGTTGAACACATTGATCGGTTCCAATGAATTCATTTCGAGCGAAGAGTTTTATATCCGAAGAATACACGATTTGATAACCGATTTCATTGTCTTAATGCCCATCAAAATCAAAGAACTCAAAGATAAAGGCGACGAAATTGGAAGAATAATCAAAGCGTATTCGGCGGAAGGCATTCAACCGCCGGCAGCACTTCCGCGACATTTTGAGAAATTGTTGTATTTTTTGGCCCAACTTTACAGCAAAGATGACTATCAATTGAGTTACGAGTTTTGGCCGACACTTAATGAGGGAAAACAGTCGACACATAGACAACATTCGTTGCATAAGTTTATCCGAACCATTCAGGACTCGTTCTTTCCGCCTATTCT